AAATTACAAAAATAGTTGAGCAAATAAACAACAAGAATTATATTTATATACTCAAGTTTATACTTATTTTATGTAATCTATTTTGGGGTAAAAAATTTCAAATTAAACTCTCTCCCAATTCTATGCTTTTGCGATGTAATTTAAGTATGGACTCCTTAAGATTTCAATCAGAGAGAACCAAAGATATAAATATATATATATATATATATATATATATATATATGTTGGCACCTACATATATGTATCCCATATCGGTAGCATTGACAGATAAGTGAGTACGTCAAAGTCAAAGACATTTGGGGGCGATTGTCATTTATCAAAATCATTAATGCAATTACGCGACCCCGTAAGACTATCGCTGCTCCCTGTCTGTCCTGTCTGTTCTGCCTGTTCTGTCTGTTCTGTCTGTCTGTCTGCCTTGGCTGGCTAATTATTTTGAATTATTCAATTTCATGTCTCAATTTAAATGCTCAGTGGCAATTAGGCAAAAGACGATTCTGGTTGCGCTGCTCCTCTTATTGTTTCTGTTGCTGCTGCTGCTGCTGCTGTTTCTGTTATCTATCTGCCTGTGTCCAGTCATTTTAGTTTTTTCTGCTGCCACTGCTGAGTGCCACTTTGATGCGTGCGACGTGAGTGTGTGGGTGGTGGTGGTGGTGGGGTGGTTTTTGGGTTTGGTGGGGGGTAGAGAGGTAGGCGGAGCTGATTGCTCTACAAATGCAAATTAGAAATGTGTGTGGGACTAAAATGAAAACCATTTAAATAATTGAAAATCGAATAAATCGCGAACTGCGCAAACCGAAAGCAAAACTAACTGATGGAGGAGGGGCGGTGGGTGTGGTGTGTAGGTGGGAGTGGGCGTGGTTGTACTCGTATATGGTCGGGTACAGGTGATGGCAACGCTTCCTAACTGACGGCCTACAAATGCAATCATAGCTTAAACAGATATAGATGTATATATATACCTAAAAGTATCTATACAAAAGACTGATATATAGTTTTGCATATGTGAAAAGTATTGTGTGGTTTACTGATGTACAAAATCTAATTAATTATTTAATTAAAAGTCTATTTTATTGACATTCTAATTTAGGTTTTTCGAATATTTTGTGTGCCTAGCAACTGTGTGTGTATCTACTATATATATATATATATATATATATATATATATATATATATCTATTCTTTATTAAACTGTTTACAATTTATGCGTGCGTTGCGTTTGCGACCTTTGCGGCGTATGCGCAATTTTAATTGGTTTTTAACCAAATTGCTTGCATTTTGCCAAAACACCCTTCATCCAATTGCACATGTGTGTGTGTGTGTGTGTGTCTGTCTGTGTGTGTGTGTGATGACTTTCTTAAATTTGCATATTCTAAATGACTTATTTTGACATGCCCTAATCAATTTAATTTGTCAAATTTATTAAAATATTTATGCGAATAGCAATAAATACAAAACAACAGCTGTCTGAGGCCAGCCAGAAAATTACCTGCACTGGCAGAAAACAAGTCCAGCTGCTCACATCTAAATATTACTATTAATTTAAAAAAATGCCGATCGATTGTTCCTCTGAGAACTATAAACTATTGTAAATCAATGTTAATTTTGATTTTTTGAAGAAACAACTCGAAATAGAGCAATTTGACGCGAAAATGTTGATGGTATCACTTGCAATTGCTCTGTAAAACCTTAACTTGTTTTTTAAAGTTTTAAAGTTAATGAAATTATAAGCTAGGATTTGTGATCATAACCTAGATTCAAACAAAAGCTATAGAAAAAAGCTCGGTGCATTTATTTTATTTATATTTATTTATTTATTTAATGTCAACTAAAGTCAGTCGACACAATAAATACAAAAAGTAACAAATTGAAATAAATAAATCTTAAAATTATAAATAAATATGAAAAAATGAGAAATATTTATAAGATTACTGGGGATATATGCATATAACTCCTATCTTTGAATGTACATACTAAAATAGATTAAAGATTTAACAGAATTAGAATATTCTCACTGCAAGTGTATAATAAATGGTCTACCCTTAATAATGCTTAACGATTGCAAGTACATAAACAAAAAACACAAACGAGAGATATTTAGATAAAAATTATTGTTCGATTGCGTTGATGCCGCAATAATCATAATCGTTGTCATAAAGAACGCCTCCTCCCCACCCAATTTGATCAGAGAAGTGCTACGAGTGCGAGTATTTAAGTAGTTGATACGTGGGAGGAGCAAGGGGCGAAAAGGGGGCGTGAAGGGGAGCCTTGCTTTTAGGGTCGTTGCTTCGTTTAACAAGGCGCCGTATCAATTTACCAAAATAGTTGGCATAAACGTTGTTATCCTTATGAGTGTGTGTGTGTTTGCTTCCTGCTTGTCTAACAACAACTTGGGTTTTACTTGTCTCTAGCTCCTTGGCACGCATATCGTGTACTTATATAATATATGTATATATATATATATATATATATATATATATATGTACACATTTATATATATATTCATGTGTATATGATATGATGATTGGATATGAAGCGTTTTGTGTTGTGTTGTTTTGTAATTCGTTTTTTATTTACTATTATCATTTACATTTATTTGTTATTATGCTATGAAACCCTCTCGTCCATTTCTCACATATCACACTCTATCTGGGTTGGTGTGTGTCAGTTCGCTTGGCCTTCTTTATTTGAATGGTTTTTCGGTTGTTGTTTCACGCAATACAAAACATTTTTGATATGTTTTGTTTTTAGACAGGCGAATTGAGATTGCGCGCTTTGACTTCCAATTTTAGTTGCACATTTTCTGCCAACGTGAGAGAAATGCAATTGCGTTGTCCACACACACATATAGATATACACATCCTGTCAGCATATATATGTATATATATATGTTTATATATTTTTTTTCGTTTTCATTTACATATTTTCCTCTGGTTACCAACCAGCTTTTTTTGGGGTCGGTTTTTTGTTATTGTTGTTTCGAATTTATGCGATACGACGCGAATGTTTGTTCAATAAACGAAATAATTGTCGGCAAGTGTGTTATGATGAAATTGTTTTGGGTTACTTCATAAATTAGCGCACAAAAACAGAATAACACACACAACCCTCGATACATATATATATATATATATATAGAGTTACTTGGGTTGGGCTGGAAGATGGTGGATGGGTGGGTTTACCACCCTTAAATAAGTTTGAAATTGGCTTTTTACTACTAATAACTAGCTGACTAGCATTGATTTCTCTTCGTCTCTCTCTCTCTCTCTCTCTCTGTATGCTTCCCATTCGTAAACGATTTACTGATTTTCATTCTTTTTTAATGAATTTCAATTATTTTACTCTACACCCAAGCTGATCTGATCGCTAGTGCAGGCACATACATAAATCTAGACTCAAATATATGTGCTGAACATAATCGAATTTAAAGCGGAATATCATTAATCAAGTGGCGCGGCAAGCGAGTAAGCTAAACACACACAGACACACACACATGAATAGAGTAAAGGAAAAACCCTCTGAAAATCAAGGGAATTCCATCAGCCACTTTCCAAGTGGAATGAAAAATGAGCATGTCGCAAATGCAGGCGCCAATTGCAATCGAAAAGTAAATGCATTTTTATTTATTTTCTTCTTTTTTGTTTTTTTGTTTTTGTTTTTGTTTTTGGAGGCACCTGTGATTATTTTGATACGTGGGGCGTTACGCTTTGCGGAAGATCATAATCGTGAAGGCAGATGAATGGGTTTATAAACATATTTGGAAGGCAGCACATCGATCAGTGGGGAAGTATTTACGAGTACATCTGCAGTACCTTTAGGGTAGGGTCAAACAAAACAACGCTAGCCAGCTTTTAATGATCTTGTACAATTATTTTGGCTTGTAACTTCAAAACTGGAAACTCGAAAACTTCCAAAAAGATCGACTGTTCAGCATTGTTCGCTGCTTGTAAACGGTTAAATTAAATTGATTTGCGTCTAATGCCCCCGACAAGTGGCCCGCTCGGTGCGCTCGCTCGTAATTAATGATTCCATTAGACACCACACGGAGGGGCACAACTGAAACAACTGAACAACAGCAAAAACTAAACAACTGGGCAACTGAACAACTGAGCAACTGAGCAACTGGGCAACCAGCGAGCCGCCAGCGTCGTCTCGGTGCTTAAGTATGAATAATTGGTAATAGTATTTAATGATTGGGGCTGCTGCTGCTAAGGCTGCTGCTGCTGAGGGCCCACCTGCCTCTAGACGGTGGCAATTGAACCCAAAAATGAGCCAACGACTCATGTGTTTCTATCTGTTTCTTTTTATGGCCCCAACCCATTGAAAAAAAAACCAAACACAGGGTCTACTAAAGTTTTTATTTATTTATTTAATGTGCTCTAAAAACCTGTACGCAAAATAGTTTTTAAAAAGTACAAATTTTAAATTAATTTGAAGTTCAAAACAAAAGTTACAAGTTAAATTGACTAAATACATTTTGAATTAATTGTAAATTTAAAACAAAAATTACAAGTTATGAAATGATATAAAATAATAAAAGTGAACAAAAGTTGTTTAATAATAAATATCTTTTGAATTAAATTTAAAATGAAAACTAAAGCTATAATTTAGAGAGCGTGATAGAGAGAGAAAGAGAGAGAGAGAGAGAGAGAGAGAAAGAGAGATGGAAGAACTAGAGACCATATTCGTGAAGATCTTAAGTTTTTGGTTAGAAAAATATTATTAATTGCAAATGAATATCTTAGTCTAAGGAACTTAAGACATTCCATTGTGGAAAGTAAATATGCAAATCAGTCCAACTTTCTCAGAGAGAGAGAGAGAGAGAGAGAGAGCGAGAGATTGAGAGAAAGATAAGAGCTAGGGACTTTAAATTTTAAATATAATTTCTAGTAAACTTTAAGCTTATCAAGTTTATATTACTTTATCGACAACTATCTTTATTTCCAAAATATCAATATATATTTCTAATATATTTTTTATTGTTCTATATTTGATTACAGATAAAGACAGAGAGAGAGAGAGAGAAAGGGAGAGAGAGGAGCTGGCCCACCAGAACAGCTTTAGTAAACGTGTTCCGTCCATGGTTGAGTCCGCAAGCGTTCGGTGAAAATGGACAAAGGCCGTCCGAGGTTGCCACAACTTTCGCTCAATTAGCACAGGGAGCAGGAGCAGGAGCAGCAGCAGCAGGAGCAGGAGCCGGAACAGAAGCCGCAGCCGGAGCCAGAGCACAAAGAAAGCCGAGAAATTTGGCTACGAAACGGCTAACTGTAAATATTTGCGAATCTGCAGACAAAGGCAACACAAAGCAAGCCCAAACATAAAGGAAATAAGGAATTAGCAACAAAAGGCAGCAGCGTGGATCGAGGAGACCATTAGGATAAAGCACACACACACCCACACACACTCACACCTACACACACACCATAGAGATTGAAGAAGTGAGGAAGCAGTAGCAGAAGCAGACACGAAGTCAAGGACACGGCACAAGTTCCTATAAATGACCGAGTCCACTCAGCTGCAAACGGCGGAGAACAACAACGCGGGCGTGGTCAAAATGGAGCCACCTCCATTGGCGACCTCCACCAGCACCCAGCACTCAACGTCACAGCACACAACAGCACACTCGCACAGCACACAGCAGCACTCACAGCACTCGCTGGCGGCAACAGCAGCTGGCGGCGCCGGTACGGCGCTATCGCCAGCGACGCCACCGTTGCTGCCACCGCTGGGTCACAATTCGCAGCAGCATTATGCGCTTAAGTGGAACGATTTTCAAACATCCATACTCAGCTCGTTTCGGCATCTGCGCGACGAGGAGGACTTTGTCGATGTGACGCTCGCCTGCGACGAGCGCTCCTTTACCGCCCACAAGGTCGTCCTCAGCGCCTGCAGTCCCTACTTTCGCAAGCTGCTCAAGGCCAATCCCTGCGAGCATCCCATTGTCATCTTGCGCGACGTTCGCAGCGACGATGTCGAGAACCTGCTAAGGTAACCACAATCAATCACATATCTATTAAATTTCATTTTATCCAATTATTCTTCAGTTGAGTTTACGATAATTAAATAATTCAAGCAGTGTTTTCCCTATTTTCAATTGGTTGATCAATGTTACCAATATAAATCGTACATACAAAAAAGAATTTCTTAATATTAGCATATTTATATATGAGAGAATATATTTAAAACTATAAAATTGTTTATCAAAAATATGCTAATATTAAGAAATTCTTTTGGCTGTTTGAATTTAGTTAAACTTTTATTTTTTATGCGATTCCTACTGCTTGATATAAAGATTACAGGCTTAGTTTAATCTTAAAATGCATTTTCAAAGACAGATTTAAGTTTAACAATAAAAATAAGTAATATTTAGCTGAAGTATAATTAAACTTAATACCGTTTTCTAGAGAAAGAAAGGCAAACTAAAAGTCAGGATTTCTCTGCAATAATCTTAAATCACGATTGTAATATTCTTAGATTAAGTCCACAAATTTCTTGTCTCAATTTTGTTGTCTTGCTATTTCCCAATTTGAGTCTAATTTTCTAGACCACATTCTAAATTGTATTTTGAAGATCTCAATTGGTGGTTGAAGTTATCATTGTAATATGTACAATTAAAGCAATAAATTTTCAATTTAAAATGTTCTATTAAAGAGGGAATCATTCGTAAATATTCCAATTTTAGGATTTTAGATGATTATTTTTGAATCAAATTAATTAATTTTAAATGTTTGATTATACAAAGAATAATAATATAATAATATATTATTCTTTATGTGTGTTTCAAAATCTTAGTTTGAGCTTAAAATTCAAAATATAAAAGCAAAGTTTTCAAATTATTTGCTTAACTCCTTTTAGTTATCTGTTAAGCGAACATTTTGCTTGATTCAAGAACATTTGTACTAGTTTGAGGTATTTTGTGCTCTTTTTAATATGCAATTTTAAAGAATTACTCAACTATATAAAATCTTACGACATTCTACTTACTCCTCATGCTAATCTTGTCAATCTTCCTCTGCCACGCCCTTTTCACAGTTTTATGTACAATGGCGAGGTGAATGTCAGCCATGAACAATTGCCCGATTTTTTGAAGACGGCGCATCTGCTGCAGATTCGCGGATTGGCGGATGTCAATGGTGGTTATCCCTATGTCAAGGCTCTTTCCGCAGCCCTCAGTCACAACAACAACAACAACAACAATGCTGAAAGCAGCAATCACAACAAAATCAGCAACTATTTGCCCACAGCCAACAACAACAACAGCTGCAGCAGCAGCAGCAACAACAACAGCGCCAGCAACAACAACAACAACATCAACAGCAACAACAACCATAACAACAACAATAGCCACAGTCACAGCCAGAATTCACCGTTCAGCACTCCGCAGATGCCAGCAGCAGTGCCAGCAGCAACATCAGCAGCAGCAGCCGCCGCGGCAGCAGCAGCATCGCTGACAGCTGCAGTTGCTGCTGCAGCAGCAGCGACAGCATCGAATTTGCCACGGGATGGACAGCGGGGGGAGCTGGGCAGTGCGGCACAGAGCAGTGGAGGCAGCAGCAACAGCAGCGGCCCACCCGCCATCCAGGAGCTAAAGGCATCCGCAGCGTCGCCCGTAAGAACCAACATCCCCAATCCCCAACCAAGTGCAAATCCAAGCAAAGTAATTTCAGCTTGAGTTCGCTATTTCCACATTAAACGCCACTAATCCCAAACCTTAAATCACTCCTTATTTTTTTTATGAAACCCGATACATACTTTAGGCCAGCAGCAACCATTGGGATCTGAGCGATATGGAGGGCAGTCGCAAGAGTCATCTGACGCCGCCGCCCCAGAAACGCATCAAGAGCGCCGATCTGTTTCGTGCCCAGCATGGCATCAGTCCGGAGCGATTGCTCCTCGACCGTGAGTTCCCCGTGGCGGGGCAGCATCCGCTGACAAGGAATCGCAGCCGCGACACATCCAAGGATCGCGATCGCAGTCTCGAGCTGCGCGAATCTCTGCTCGGCCAGGCCCTCGAACAGAACAGCAACGGACAGCAGGCCAATCAGGTAGGTATAATAGGATAACTTTAAAGGTTCGCTCCCAAAGTTGTTCTAGTGTTATAGAAATTAATATTGTTAGATTTGATCAGAAAATATTTGAGGGGAAATTAATTCTTAAAAAATGTTTATACATAGGAAAACACTTTTATAACTTTGTTTTTAATCGTATTTTCATGAATTGAAAAGCTTACTTGAAACTTTTTAATAATATTTGTTCGAAATAATGCAAGAAGTCTATATTATATATATCCTTCAGAGGAGGAATCCTCGATACACATCCTAGCAGAATGTGTCGCTAGCAAGAAGAAGATGTAGCATCCTAGGGTTGCATGTCTTGAATTCTAGAGATATAGAAGACCTCAACCCAACAACGATCCTAGCATTCGCACGGGATCTGGGACTGATGGAAGAGCTATAGGCTCAGAAGGGGTCCAACAGGTCGCGGTGCAACTTCCCCAATAATAATAAATAAATATATATCCTTGTGCATCTGTTTGTGTATTGCTCACCAAAAAATATAATTTGTAGACACTCGGAAAATATTATGGCATCGATATAATCGATACATATTAATAAAATTGCCATAGGGCCAACTCGCAATTTTTTACTTTTCAACAAGCTATAAATTCAACATTTTAAAGTTAGATTTTGCTAGAATTTATTAATGAAATATATACAAATATCGAATCATATCTTCAAATGTTACTCTTTCTATGTGCAGAAACATGATCTCGGCCAGAGTGCTGGCGAGGACTCGAACAGCAGCGATACGGAACCCTCGGATCGTGGTGATGGGCAACATGATGGGACACTTGATGGCATGGACAATCAGCGTTCGCACTCCTTTCCCAATGCATTCCTGGGCCTGCAGGGCATTCCCGGCCTGTTGCCAGGACCTTCCGGCCTAGGCGGCAATGATTTCGGTGAGTGAACAGCAATCATACCATTAATATTATTATTATTATTATTATTTTCCTCAAACATATATATACATTATATATGCAGCTTGAAATTCGTTTACACTTTGTTATCGATTAATTGAGTATTTGCCTCTTGTGTATGATTTATCGATCGAATTGTCGATTGTCGCGAATAATTTGCGTATGATTTGCATTTGCTACAAGTTACTAACTATCGATAGCTATCGATAAACCGATAAACGGCAGGGCATTCAAATTCGACAAACAATTGGCCAACAAAAAAAAAAGAAAAGAAAAACAAAATAAAAGCAAAACCAAAACCAAAACAAGAAAACGCAAAAGATAAACCAAAAAAAAAAAGAAAAACCAAACAATGTTATAATTATATACCTTAAATAAGTACAGTTAAGTGCGCTGTGTATTGATTGTTATCGGTTTATTGTCAACTTTTTAATTGCATTTTGCATAACCACAATCACAATAGTATTCTCAAGTAGAAATTTATCATTTAAGTAACGCAGTGAAACTCACAAACTCTTCGATATATCCGCCTATCGATAATATGTATTATACACCCAACGTATAAACAACAATCCAATTCTCAAGTATCTATTTTATTTATAAGCAGTGAAACTCAGAAACTCTTCGACTCGATAACACGTATCGATATATTTGGCGTTAATTAATTGTTATCGGCTTATTGTCAAACTTACTCTTGCATTTACAAAACCAATCCAAGAAAACTATTCTCAAGTAGAAGTTTATCATTCAAATACCGTAGTGAAATATATAAATTCTACGAAATGTTTGTCTATCGATAACACGTCTCGATACACTTATCATAATACAAATAAAGTAGGCTTATATTGCGACGTATCACGCTCAACCAGTTGTCCAAATCCAGGCAATCATTAGACCCATAACCCACTATGGGATTAACACTAATACAACAACAATAATCCCAATCGCCTTCCGAGTGTGAAGAGTTATGCGTCAGCCACGTGTCGCATTAGTAAACTTCTGGACAACATAACATTTGGACTTTCCGATTATAAACATATATAAACGTCGTAGGGGAGGAGGGAGGGGGGAGGCGGGAGGAAGTGAAGTGTTGGAATAAACGGGTCGTAATGTTCATTTACGTATGTGCAAATGTTTCGAATAACGCACAAAAAATGATTATTATTACTATTGCGATTACTATTTCGATTACTATTATTATGATTATGATTACCATTCGATATTATGCGGATACGTAAGCGGATGCGAATGTGAATGTGGATGTGAATGTGAATGGCAGTGTGAATGTGCTTGAATGTGTTGTGTGCTTGTGGCCGAAACCCGTTACAAATATGAATCGTTTCGCTTTCGTTACACTCAGCCACACACACACACACACTCAGACACACACACGCTGGCAAGTGAAGAACTCGTTGAGACTGCCCCTTATGCCCCAACTACCCCGCATCCGTCGTTGCTCTGCTTCTGCTTGTGTTTGTGTTGCCGAAGCACATTACACGCACTTTGTATAGCGTCGCAAATGTCGCATTTATCGCGCATTAAAATGATAATGGCGCCTCAGCCTCAGCCTCAGCCTTAGCTAAAAGCCTTAGCCTTAGCCTTAGCGAACTAGGCGCACAGCTAGCTGGCTGATTCTACACTGCGCAAAAATATGAATTTATAAAAAAAAAATATAAAAATTTTTAGTTTTTGTGATTTCTCTAAAACGATTGTTAACTAAAAAATATACAATTTCTATAAAAAAAAGTAGATAAAACAAATTTATCAATTTGCATTTAAGCAATTATTTAATAACACAATGAAGTTTGATATTTTTATTATATTTAAAACAATTTTATTCCAAGTGAAGAGTGTTTGCTTATAAATGAGGATTGAGCAGACAACAAACAAATTCGATTCAACATGTTCAACTCAATTTTAGAATAGATTCTTAAGATTTTCGTCAACAACAAAGTTATTTAAAGTTATGTTTTCATTCTTTAATATCGTTCCTTTTTTGTTTGTTTTCGCCGCTGTTATTTTTCGAAACGCATTTGGCATAAATCACAAACAATTTTCTAGATTTTTGTTTTTATTTTTTCACCTAGTAATATTTAAATTTTTTGTAATATGAGGCATAAATTGTTCATAAATGTTAAAAGTAGATTTTAGTAAAGAAACCTTCAATCGAATCCAAAGAAAAACATTAACTCAAATGCAGAATATGTTTTTATTATTATTATTATATTATTATTTTCTTCATATTACATTTTTTCTCCGTTGATAATCGTTGACAAATTTTAAAGTAAGATAACTATTTCAACTTTTAAAATTCAGAGCTCAAACTTGCAAACTTGTTCATGATATCCGTACACATTTCATTTCTCTGGGTGTATATGGGTTTGGGGTTCAAGTCCTGGCTAAGCTGGCGCTGCCATTTAATATTCAGCGCACATAGATCATTGCAGCAAATGTTGACCGGCTGCTGTTCGGTCTGTTGGTCGGTCGGTCTGTTGGTCGGTCAGTCTGTTGGTCGTTTGTTGGGTCGACCGACCCGTCGGTCTGTCCAGCTGTCCAACTGACTGTCGTCGCAGCTGCCTCAGAGAGAAAGAGAGAGCGAGAGAGAGAGAGAGAAAAAGTGAGCCTGCGAGCTCGTCGCAAAGAAATCAAATTTAATAAAGCATAAACATTCAATAAGCTTTCGACTTGCACGCCCCCAGTCCCCCCTCCATCATCATTTCCACACATCCTGCGTCACATCCCATCACATCACACGTGGTGGCAGAAAGTCATTTGAAATTCCGGACAACGGTAACGGTAACGGACTTTCGGGAACTAGGCTCTTGTACTTGTTGTATTTGTGTGTTCTTGGCCATTTCGCAATCGGAATCGAAAATATTAACGGCCCAAGCGGCAAAAGGATAAAGTTTTGTGCAATGATAAAAATGATAAGTTCCCATTTTTGTTTGTTTTTTGTTGTTGTTGTTGTTGTTGTTTTGTTTTCTCGTTTCTATGTATTGGATGTCAGACACTGTACGCCCATTTCCAGCAAAGGGACAAACAAAAAAAAGGACGACACACACACACACACACATGCACAAATACACACACATATTTAGATTTTATTTCGTTTTATTGCTTTTTTGTGCATTCGATTTATTCGAAGACGTTTGCCAATGGCCGAAAAACGGACTTGGAAATTGCGCACATGTGTGCGCAAGGACTTGAGAGCTAACCGTCCACTCACACACCCACTCCTCTCCCCCCTCCCTCTCTCTCTTTCTATCTCTCTCTCTCTGTCTTCAAGCAGCCCGCCCTGGATTTGCAATCCCACATTTTTCACACAATCCACACAGTCCAGCGACTGCTACAGCTTCAGTCCACAGTCCAGTTATATGAGTCGGGTTTGCATTTTAATATATTTGCGCCCTTCTTCTGCTTACTGCCACCGCCACCGCCCACCCCCCTTCAATCCTGCAGCACCGCCCAAGTGTCACACACTCGCAATCAGATGCGGGCCAAGTGGTTGAGCAGACAAACTACAAAGGCGAAAAAGTTTACTTTGCAAAAATCCGTTGCAGAAACATTTATAAAGTGGCCAAGTGGCAACCCATCTGCCCGCTACCCCACAAGCTCTGGCAGCCAAGGTGGCAGCAGTAAAGCAAAAAACAAAAATAGAGAAAAGGACGAGCATAACAAGCAAGCGTTGTAGACGCAACGCTGACCCCCAGAAGGCGTTGCCCAATCCAGCGACATTTTAAAATGAAAATGATGGCAAAAAAAAAGACGAAATGCGAACAGGGAATATATGTGGTATGGTGGCTGGTATGGGGGGCAGTTGTAGGTGGACAGGCAGTCGAAACATTGACAGCAAATAAATGGCAGCCCAAATAATAACAGCGAATGGGAGGTGCAGCATCGGTGTGTCTGTCTAGAAAATTAAAAAAAAAAAAAACAGCAGAAAATAAAACAAATAGAACACAAACGGTAATATTCAGACAGAGCTTGACTTTTTGGCAATCGAAAGAATGCTGCGCCAGCACAGCGCCATCTGTCGGCGACCGTTGTAGTAGCAGTAGTCGCTTTTGCCAGGCGTCAAGAAAGTTGCGGCCAGGTCCATGTTATCTTGGCCAATGCAGTTGGCTGTTGGCTGTTGGCTGCTGACTGCTGGCAGTTGGCTGCTGGCGCCCCAACAGACAGACAGACGTGGGTGTAGAAAAATCATTGACATATAAGGCCATTTGCTCATTTCTTGTGCACAAAAACCAAATGCAAAAAGTTCCCGAAGGGGGGGGGAAGACGCGTCTTGGACTAGGACTTGGCTGGACTGAGTGGCGCTGGCCAAAGTTAATGCGCAAAGTTTCTTTTCAGTTTTATTTGCCAGCTGCGCTCCCTCACATGCTGCTGTGGCCAAATGCATTATGTTGTGCCACATTCGTTGAAATCACATTCAGCACTGCCACAGATGTGTTGCCAGCAGTGGGCAAGCAGGCAAGAGAGATTATAATGTGAGTCTTGCTTCGCAGATGAGCTAATACACAATCTGAGCTGGTTGTGGATTAGCAAGAATAACTCAGTTCTTCTGCGATACCTTTAAGTTTTGATTTTATTTTACTCTCAGTGCTGTGCCACATCGTCTTGCCACGTAACAATTAAAAACTTAAAAACTAAATTAAAAACAACTGAACTGGGCAGAGACACCAGGACTCCGACAAGCCAGATGTCTTTTGAGTGGCTACAATCATAGACGATTTAAGCAAGGGGAAGAACGGACTAAGGATACTCACCGGTCTACTGACAGGACATTGGCAGACTAAAAAGTCAACTAACTAAACTGGGTATTTGTGGAAGCGAACTATGCAGTTTTTGTGAAAGCGAGGAGGAATCCTCAATGCAGGGAATCCTAGGGATGCATGTTATGAGTTTCAAAGAAATAGAAGCCTTCAACCCAACAAAGATTCGAACATTTCTGCAGCAGCTGGGGTTGATGGAGGAGCTGTAAG